TTTCTTCTTTCACAAACACCATTCTGTTGAGGGGTATATGCTGCTGTGAACTGCTGTTGTATTCCAGCTAGGCTGCAGATTGTCTTGAACTCATTTGAGATGTACTCAGTTCCATTGTCTGTCCTTACTGCTTTGATCAAGGTTCCAGCTTCATTCTCCACCAGCAACTTAAATTGTTTGAACACAGCAGCCACTTCATTTTTTTGCTTCAAGAAATAAACCCAAGCCACCCTTGAGAAATCATCAATGAAGAGTACAAAGTACCTGCTGCCATTTAAAGATTCTGTCTTCATTGGGCCACACACATCCGAGTGGATCAATTGCAGCTTGTGACTTGCTCTCCAGGCTTGATCCGAAGGGAATGATGGCCTGCTAAGTTTGCCAAGTTGGCAGGCTGTGCACAAAGTCCTTTTCTCTTCTATCTCGGGCAGGTCTAATACCATGTCCCTTGACTTGAGTTCTTTAATTCCAAGGTAATGAAAATGTCCAAGTCTTCTATGCCATAACTCAAACTCTTCAACCTTGGTGATTAATGCTGAGTTTTCTGGTTTTTTCCAGTCTAGAGGAAAGCTTTTGCCAAGCATCCTTACACTCAACAACTCATTTCCCTCACTATCCTTTATAATGCAAGAATTGTTTTGGAAATGCAAGGTAAAATTTCTCTCTAACATTTGACCTACACTTAACAAGTTTTGTGCAATTTCAGGTACAAACGAAACATTAGAAATAACCTTAGTTCCTGCCTTAGTTTGGATTGCCACATCTCCAATCCCTCTTGCTTCTACATAGTCACCATTTCCAATCTTAACCTTGGAGCTGTATGTCCTGTCCAACCTAACAAAGTTCTCTACATTTGCTGCTATGTGGTTAGTGCATCCGCTGTCTATCAACCAAACATCTCTACAGGTCTGCATTGAGTAGCATGAAGCTACAAACAACTGTTCTGATTCATTGGTTTGCTGCTGTTCATCTGCACTTTGTGCTTGCTGTGGTGGCTGTGCAGCCTTATTCCTGCACACCTTCTCAATGTGGCCGAATTGCTTGCATCCCCTGCATTGAATCCCAGGCCTGAACTAGCACTTGCTGTCCAGATGTCCCTTCTTTTTGCAGTGGGAACATGGTGGATAATTTCTTCCTCCACTCTATTTTCCCCACTGTCCACCAGCTCTCTTTTTTCCTCTCTTATCCCTAGCATATTTTCTATTACTTCCCTGCATATTCACTCCTTTTTGAGCAACTAACATAGCACCTTCATTTGAGTCCCCCTGCCTCATCAACCTTCTTTGTTCTTGGGCCTGCAAGGCATGAACCAATTCAGTGAGGCTGATTTGGGAGAGATCTTTTGAATCTTCTAAGGAAGATATCTTGGACTCAAACCTTTCCAGAAGGCTGACTAACACCTTTTCAACTATCATCTTGTCACTCATCTCAACTCCCAACAATCTGATTTTGTTCACCACACTCATGAGTCTATCTACATACTCTTTAACCTTCTCTACCTCCTGCATTCTCAGCATTTCAAACTCCCTGCGCAGGTTCATGACTTGCATGTTACGGGTTGTATCACTTCCCATGAATTCTTCTCTTAGTCTATCCCAAGCTTCCTTTGCAGTTTCACACGCCATTATCCTTGTAAATACAAGGTCTGTTACTGCCGAATGTATGTGAGAGAGAGCTCTTGGAGCTTTGGACATTTCCTCTTCATACATTCTCATTTGGTTCAAGGTTGGGTTTGGACCAAGTTGGGGTGGCTGTTTCTCCTCTTCCACATATTGCCACAGCCCTTGTCCTCTTAGGTAGGCTCTCATTCTAACAGCCCAAATGTGATACTGGTCCCCATTGAACACTGGAGGTGAGAGAGACGCAGATTGAGAAGCCATGCGTAAAACTGGTTGCAGTTTTTTTGAAAAATTTGGTTCTTGCGTAAGGCTGAAGTTTGATGGTGATTTGGGATGAGTTTTTGAGTGAACTTGTTAGACGATAGTTGGTTAGTTTAGCTCTGATACCATGTTCGTTTTTGTGATGCTGGTTGTGCAAAGAAGAAGAAAGATAAAAACTAAAAAACAGGACATATTTTTCATTAGACAAAAGTATGCATATAACATACTTCTACTTACTGTTTCAACAACCATCAGAAACTTTTCCTTAATCTTAGCTAAACCACTCAAAATACTAACAACTTCATTACAAAAAAGCTAAGCCAATAAATACAAGGATTAACATTAAATTATAGTAGAACTTAAACCACTGAACCGTGAAGCACTCCCATGCACATCCATGCAGAGCAAAACTTTTTCCAGGTTTTCATACATTTGGCAAACCAAACTTCCAGCACAGCATCAACCGTCAACAGTTACACATAGAAGTGCAGGGATTATATTGTAATCTACTCAACCACCTGTGCAATAGAAAACGTGAATGAGAATATCATCAATTGCAAGAGACCAATAATGGCATTTCACAGTCCAATTTGAGAAGGTTTTCAGTGTTCATTGACTTCTGTAGAATGTAGACTCCCAAGTCAATTAAAGAAGACAAATTTGGAAAACTCAATCACAGATTAAAGCGGAAAGTTATCGAAGTTATCTTTTGATTTCTTTGTTTCACATAGTCCCCTGTTTCAAGCTCTATTCGAAACAGAGATTAAAGAATTTAGATTGTGATTTTACTCGTGTCTTACCTTTTCACAAAGTCTTAAGGTGGACCAGAACCCAAGTTGAAAATTTCTTCATTCTCTGACTTGCTTTACATCTCATGTTGCAGTAGGGTTACTGTAATGCCACAGCATGACTACCGTGCCTCAGCTTCCAGTGATGTCATCATGATGTTCATTGCAACCGTAATAATGTTACCAGAACCTGAGGCACCGGTAATGTTACCGCGATGGTACATTGCAACAGTACCTTACAAAGTGTCTTGAGGTATAGTAACCTTACAGCGATGTGCAGCATAATGGTAACGTTACTGGTTCCTCAGGTTCTAGTCACATTACTATGGTGATTCAACAGTAATGTTACCGTGAAGTAGCAGTAAAAACCATTCTGGATTACTCATAAATCTTCTGAAGAGTGTGATGGAGGGATCTTTGAAAGAGCTTTGTTTGAATAGCCCTGGTATATAAATTTTAAATATATGTTTTAAGTGTGTCAAGAGGAATAGCTGGATGTTAATGGACAAAAAACTGGAATTAGTTCTGAATACTATCAACATAACTGCAAGTGATAGAGCTGTGAAGAAGATAAAGGTTCTGGTAGAATCGGAAATATATGTTTTTATCCCTTTCATGTTTTAAAATCCTTATTGTTTGATAGCATTATAAATAAATATTAAAGCAGAATAACAAAATCACTCTGTTCCATGGCCCCTTGTTTGAAGCTCTGTTCAAAACAGAGAACCTTTTAGAAGCTAATAGATCTTTTTTTTAATGTAATCATCCATATGATCATTAATCAATGACTTTAAGTTCATAAAAGGATATTGATTCAAACATTAAATAACACCCATATTCATTTCAAAAGCTGCCTAAGAAATGATAATGCACAAATCTAAGTCCTCTGATTACAAGTTAAGGACTAATTACAATCCAGAAAGTCATCATAAATCCAATAGTCATGGTCATGCACAGCAAGCCCATTTCATGCTAATTGGCTCCAGCATCAGAAGTCACAATACAATTTTTTGGCAGATGAGGTCCACAGAGTTAATTGCAAGCAAGATTTAAGATTTGTAGAGAATCCAGGTGACAAATTTCTGCTTGTAAAACACCATTAAACTTATTTGAACGAAGATTGAGAATCAATAAGCTGGAATGTTTCCAGCAAACTCATTTTCACTGATATCAACTTCTAGTAACTCTGTACAATTTTTAAGACGCATTGGTATTGCTCCAAATAGGTTGTTTTCACGAAGGTGTAGCGATCTAAGAGAATTTAAAGTTCCAATTGAGGTTGGAAGGTTAACAGAAAATTTATTGTTATCGAAATTCAAGCTTGTCAAGTGTTTCCAATTCATCCAGCAATCTGTTAATTCTCCATCTAAAAAGTTTTCTCTAAGGACTAACTTTTCAATCAGGTTCTTTGACTCATTCATCCCATAACACAAGAAATGGATGATTGAACCTGACAAACAAAGCATTACTGGAAAAATTGAGTGCATACAGACTGGAAGGTATAAGAGGCAATGGACCTGACAAATTGTTTAAGCTCAAATCTAGTAAATTAAGTTGGGTTAACTCAGTCAAATTCGGAATGTTCCCATAGAGTTGGTTCTGAGATAGATTATATAGATATATTGGAAAGAAAATTCAAATAACTAAATTGGAAGAGAATCTGAAATTCTTGAGTTTGATATATCTATATAAACTAAATCCTTCTGTGTATGGAGCAATAATCGAAATTGAGGCCTTAAATGACAAGATCTCAGTCCTAATAGTTGGAGTTTAAAAGGAGGGATCCCCTGAGGGTTGACTTTCAATCTAACAGGATTTCCAGATACATAAAAAAACATACAATCTTTTGAGATTTGCAAAATGGACTTCTGAAAATTCCCTTTCAGTTTTGTTATATGAAAGATTGCAACGATGAAAGTTCTCCTAATTAAAGATGGGATGGGGCCAGAAACAGAGTTAGAAATGTCAAATGCTTAAATTGTCCAAGTTGATTTGTTGACTGACCAAAAAGTTGGTTCTCACTCAAATCCAGAAACTTTAATATAATATCCAGGACTTGAGAAATCTCTTGGTTCAGTTTGATAATTGAGATAGAGAATGATCTCAAATTGGAAAATCTTCCCAAAGATTTTGGAATTCTCCTTTCAAAATTATTATTTGACAGATCAAGTGTATTGAGAGAAGTTAAGTTCCCCAGAACACGTACTGGAAATTGTACCAAGGAAATTATTGACATTAAGAGAAAGGTCTTCGAGATGACTAAATTTGTACAACCACTTTGGTATTGTAGAACCAAACTAATTGAATGATAAATCAATACGCCACAGAGATGTCAAATTTTGAAGTCCATCTGGAATTGGACCTCGTTATCACTTAGCCCAAGAGTAGTAAGGGATGAAAAATTAGCAAGGGACAGCTGAGGAAAGTGAGGAAGTTCATAAAAAGGAAGTGTGTTCATCACCAACAGCCAGTCAGAGACTTTCCTAAGGTCCACATCACTCAAATCAAGGTGCTTCAGCGAAGAAAGACCAGAAAACCAACTAATATTCTCAGCATATACCAGACATTTTGACTGAGGTCAAGATATTGCAGAAATACAGAGATTCCAAGATGGTGTGGAATCATTCCTCCGACCAGCATTAGAGAAATTCATGTATCTTAGATTTTTCATAGAACCAAGAAATCTGGGAATTGACTTCGTTATAATTGTTATCACTTATGTCCAAGTAATTCAAATGTTTAAAATCAAGCAAGGAGGTGAAGGTTTTGAAGCTGGAGAATTCTAAGGAAATGTAGCTGTTAGTTGGGTCACACCACACTCAAGAATGTTCACACGGGAATTAACTTTCATTGAACAGAAATGCTGAATAAAACATGGTTTGACTGCAGTTACACATCTCTGCAGCAGACTTAAAATCAAAATTTAAACAGCCATACTTACTAACAACTACAAACACATCACATTACATCTGCACTAATCAACAGCAGATTCTAGCTGAATTCACCTTAAGATAAACTATAAAAAACAAAGAAATGCTGGTGCATTACAATAGAAACTAACAGCAACAGAACACCGATTTTTGCCGCCAGAATATGCAGCTCCAGTATTACAAAAAGTAACCAACTTCCTGAGTTTCCCGCAAATATCATTGATCAACACTCCTTCTTGATATTCATGCTGGAACTCCAAGTTTGAGTCGAATTCTTCAAACTTGGACTTATTCAATCCCTTGGTCATGATATCAGCAAATTGGTTCTCTCCCAAGCAATGGACTAAGCTAATTCTTTGCTTTGCTTTGCCTCTCTCATAGCATGGTATTTAATTTTGATATGTTTAGTTCGACCATGGAGAATAGGATTCTTAGCAATTGCAACCGTTGACTATTATCACAATAAATGGTGGTAGACTCATCTTGATTCAGCCTCAAGTCTGTCAGAATTTTTCAACCAGATTGCCTGGTTTGTAGAGCTGCAGCAGAAATGTATTTGCCTCAGCAGTAGATTGGGCTACTGTCTTCTGTTTTTGGAGAGCCAACTGAAGACACCATGGTTAACAAAGAAAACATATCCAGAAGTGCTTCTCATATCATCAACTGAGCCTGCCAGTCACTGTTTGAATAGCCTATTAAACTGAATTTTTCTGCCTTCTGAACCAGATTCCTAACTCAGTAGCCCCCTTAATGTACCGTAGCACCTTCTTTGCAGCCTTATAATGCATCCACTTGGCTTGCTCATGAATATAGACAGGAGGCTGGTGGTGTACATCAAATCAGGCTTGGTTGCTGTCAAGTACAACAAGAACATATCAAGCTTCTATAGACACCTTCATCCACCCCTTTGGCACCATCTTCCTTGCTCAGCTTCTGGCTAGGAATAGAGGGATATCAAACTGATTTACAATTGTCCATATTGAACTAATTAGCACCCCATTTGCAACTTCTTTTGACACACAAATATACCCTTTAAGCTTAGGTATATTTCCATGCGAAGAAAGTAGCTCATTTCACCCAAATCAGTCATGTCAAATTCCATCTTCATTGCTCTTTTGAACTCTTCCAACTGAACAAGATTGTTTCCAGTCACCAGGAGGTCATCAACATAAGAGAGACTATCATCACTTCTCCTCTTGTTCCCTCATAAAGGGTGTGCTCATTTGGACTTCTAGCATATCCTAGCTTGCACAAATAGTCATTAATTCTGCCATACCAGGCTCTAGGGGCCTGTTTGAGACCATACAAGGCCTTTTTGAGCAGATAGACCTTCCTCCTTTCCTTAACTTCATACCCTCCGGTTGTCAATGTAGATTTCCTCATCAAGCAATCCATTTAAAAATGCAGACTTACATCAAGTTGGAAGATTTTCCAACTGAATTGTGCTGCCACTGCCATGAGAAGCCGAATGGTGTCATGTCTTGCCACAGGTGCAAAAGTTTTCAAAAATCAACTCCAAATTGCTGTGCAAATCCTTTAACAAAAAGTTCTGCCTTGAGTTTATTCACTGATCCATCAGGATTCAGTTTCCTTTTAAATATCCATTTAACTTGTATTACTTTCTGTCAAGTGGCCTATCAACCAGCTCCCAAGTTGATTTTTTTGAATCACATCATCTCCTCCTGCATTGCAGCCTTCCAAGCTTGAGATTTTGCAGCTTCAGCATAGCATGTAGGCTAATTCAGCCACATTACACCTCATATATGTCATGCAAAGACTTGGTGCCCGGACTGGTATTTCATCCACTTCTTCAGGATTCAAATCTGCATTCTGAATTTCTGGATCTGTGTCATGTTGGCTGCTGATCCTTCTCTCAAATTGCCTTTTTTCCCAATTCCAAGTAGCTCCTTCATCAACCTTGACATCCCTACTAATCACAATCCTTTGGAGCATGGATTATAAATTTGGTAGGCTTTAGAATGGCTGCTGTATCTAATCATGATGCCTATTTCAGCCTTCTCATCCAACTAGTCCTTTGTTTGCTAGAACAAACACATAACACACACTTCCAATACTTTCAAATGATCACATTTGGCTTGACACCATACCAGGCTTCAAAGGGAGTTTGTTGTCAAGTGCTTTGGTGGGTAACCGATAAGTAGATAGATCCTAGTGTTGACAGCTTCTGCCCAGAAAATTTTTGGCAAATTTTTCTCATCATCATGCACATGCCATTCCATCACTGTCCTATTCTTTCTCTCACTCACTCCTTTGTTGGGAGTGTATGGACTGCTGAACTGATGCCAAATCCAGCCCCTTTGCATGCTTCTTCAAACTCATTGGAAGTGTACTCACCACCATTGTCACTTCTCAATGACTTAAGTGTCAAACCTGTTGGTTTCTACCTGCAATTTGAACCTTTTAAACACAGCAGTAGACTCACTTTTTTTATTCAAGAAATGCCACCATGTCATCCTAGAGTAATCATCTATGAAAAGGTGAAGTACCTACTCCACTTAGAGAAGTTTGTTGCATTGGACCACACACATCAGTGTGGCACAAGTGAGCTTTTCACTTGCTCTCCAAGCTTTATTTGAAGGGAATGGAGGCCCGCTGAGTTTGCCAATTTGGCAGGTTTTGACAATCCTTCACTTGGTCTATTTCGGGTAGGTTATGGACAAGGTTTTTGTGTTTAAGTTCCTTGAGGGCATGATAATGAAAGTGTCCAAATCCCTATGCCACAACTCTGAATCATCTATCCTACGAGTAGTGTTGAAAAGTAACCTTTCCCATTCTATAGGGAAAACCTTTTCCTTGCATTCTAGCCTTCATCAATTCAGTCCCATCACTCTCAAAATAACACAAGTGAGGTCCTTGAAATGTAGAGAATAATTTTCTTCTAACATTTGTCCTACACTAAGTAGGCTCAAACTGATTTTAGGCACAAACAAAACATCAGCTATGAGTTTAGTACCTGTTTTTGTTTGGACAGCAACATACCTTTGCCTTTTACCTCCAGCAGTTCAGCATTTCCACTTCACCTTAGATTGGTAACCCTCATCTAGGCTCACGAAATTGCTGGCATTTGGGGCATATGGTTGGTGCAGCGCGTCAATCAACCACACTTCAGGGCTGTGCAACCATGCATTCAAAGACACAAACAGCTGCTTTGTACTCTCTTTCTGTCTGTTGGGAGTGCTGGGAACTTTCCACAGCTTGAGCTTATGTTCTGCTGATCCCTTGTTCTTACACACTCTTTCAATGTGCCCAAATTGTTTACAAGACCTACATGAATGCTAGGCCTGAACCAACATCATTTCAGAGTGGTTCTTTTTCCTACAGTGAGGACAAGGAGCAAAAGTTCTTGCTGCACCCATATTCTTTCCTCCTTGATTACTCAGCTTTTCTTTCCCCTTCTTCTCTCAACGTACCTCCTTTCCCTTGAAATCCCTTCTTTTTTTGACTTGCAAACATAGTCTTCACCCAAATCTTCCTGCTCAGCAACCTCCTCTGTTCTTGTGCTTGAAAGGAATGCACAAGTTCAGCTAGGCTGATCTGGGACAAGTCTTTTGAGTCTTCAAGTGAGGAGATTTTTGCTTCAAAAACTTTCGGGTTAACTAACCAAAACCTTCCCACAATCCTCTGACAGTCACTCTCCCCAAGCAACTTAATCTTGTTCACAACATTCATTAATTTATCCACATACTCCTTGACATTTTCAGTTTCTTGCATTTTGAGCACTTCAAACTCTCTCCTCAAGTTTAGGATCTGCATGTTTTTGTTTGGGTACTTCCCCAAAATCCTCCTTGAGCTTGTCCAAGCTTTTTTAGAGTATCACAAGCCATTATCCTGGAGAAGAATGGTCAGTACTAGAGAATGGATGCAGGAGAGTGCTCTTGGAGCCTTTACAACCTCCTCTTCATGAATCCAATCTGATTCAGTGTTGGGTTTGCTCCAAGTTGAGAGAGTTGTCTCTCTTCCTCCATATATTGCCATAAGGAATGGCCTCTCAAATAGGTCTTCATTTTGACAGCCCAAACATGGTACTGCTCACCATTGAAGAGGTGGAGAAAGTGGTGCTGGATTTGTTGCCATGGAGGGACTTAAGGGAGTTGAGCTGTGTTTGAAGAGTTGAGGTTTTAGTCTGAAAAACCTCAGAGGCTCTGATACCAAAGAAGGTTTTGAAGCTGGAGAATTCTAAGGAAATGTAGCTGTTATGTTGGGTCACACACACACTCAAGATGTTTCACAGGGAATTAACTTTCATTGAACAGAAATGGAAATAAACATGGTTTGCACTGCAGTTACACCTACTCTGCAGCAGTTTAAAATCAAAATTTAAATAGCCATACTTTACTAACAACTACAAACATCACATTACATCTGCACCTAATCAACAGCAGATTTCTAGCGGAATTCACCTAAGATAAACATTATAAAAAACAAAGAAATGCTGGTGCATTACAGTAGAAACTAACAGCAACAGAACACCAGATTTTTGTCGCCAGAATATGCAGCTCCAGTATTACAAAAAAGTAACCAACTTCCTGAGTTTCCAGCATAATATCATCTTGATCAACAAGAGGAATTTATCTTACCACAAAGCTTTGACCTCTGATAAGATTTAAAGTCAGCATATGATGGTTTGTGATTGGCAAAAGGATTTCCAAGGTGGAGCTTGAGGACATGGCCAGTAGACTTGTTGCATACAACATCTGCCCATGTGCAACAATCTCCATCACCAATCCAAGAGGCAAGCTGACTAGAAGGATCTAGGAGATCTTGCTTCAACCTTAAAAGTGCTCGTCTCTCGCTTTCGATGAAACCTACACAAGAGCTTCCATTGCAGAAGCTAATTTTGATGGTTGCTATACCTAGCAACTCAAACAAAGAAATTTGATGACACTCATGGTAACTTCTGATTGGCAAACACCTGCAAACAGAAACTACATGGAAGGGAAATGAGAATGAGACTGTTATCAGTAGATCGCTATTTATAATTTTTTTCTTTTCATGGCAGTCAATATAACACAACTAATCTCACTGACCCACTAGTGGTTTTGGAGGGAAATAATGATTAACTAGCATCAAACTTTCAAAGATGTACGAATGTAATGGGACTTATATTTGTCTGTGATCGATTGCGCGCTGTGGAAAATTTCTAATCCTAGAATCTGAATTTTATTATTTAACTTATGTTAGTATACTATTACTAAATAATTTCAGCAAAGAAACACAAGATAGCTTCTAAGAATATGCCTCCGAGGTCAAGATATTGGAAATTAGAGAGTTTCCAAGTTGGTGGGGA